CGTTCAAGCTGCATGATCAATCATATTATACAAATCTATTCTAATCTAATCTAATCTAATCTCCTACTACTAATCAATTGCATGCGTAGTAAGGAAGCTGTGTAGGTTTATCATTTGAGAAAGCGTTGGTTGTACTTAGGCCCCTACAGAGAAGTCATCCATCATAGGAGTCGATCGGAGTGCGCGAAGCTGGTTGTTACCATTGAAATTTGAAGCCAGTTTGGGAAGTGTGCTATACATGATGTAGTGTAGATGTTGAACAAAGCGTTGATAGCCATCCCGGATAGCCTTGTGTTGTTAAGTTGTTCGATTCACAATGGTTCAGCGGTTGTTGGATTCCCCGTGGTTGCTCGGTCGATGTGCACTGCTGATGAGTCGAGTCCGAACAAGGATGAAACAGCTGTACAGTGAGTGCTTCCATGGATTTCAATGCTCAGTTGATTGTTCAAGCTGCATGATCAATCATATAATACAAATCTATTCTAATCTAATCTAATCTAATATAATCTCCTACTACTAATCAATTGCATGCATAGTAAGGAAGCTGTGTAGGTTTATCATTTGGGAATGCGTTGGTTGTACTTAGGCCCATACAGAGAAGTCATCCATCATAAGAGTCGATCGGTGTGCGCGAAGCTGGTTGTTACCATTCAAATTTGAAGCCAGTTTGGGAACGGTGCTATATGATGTAGTGTAGATGTTGAACAAAGCGTTGATAGCCATCCCGGATATCCTTGTGTTGTTAAGTTGTTCGATTCACAATGGTTCAGCGGTTGTTGGAATCCCCGTGGTTGCTCGGTCGATGTGCACTGCTGATGAGTCGAGTCCAAACAAGGATGAAACAGCTGTACAGTGAGTGCTTCCATGGATTTCAATGCTCAGTTGAGCGTTCAAGCTGCATGATCAATCATATTATACAAATCTGTTCTAATCTAATCTAATCCAATCTCACATTACTAATGGATTGCATTCATAGTATAGAAGCTGTGTAGGTTTATCGTTTGGGAATGCGTTGGTTGTACTTAGGCCCCTACAGAGAAGTCATCCATCATAGGAGTCGATCGGTGTGCGCGAAGCTGGTTGTTACCTTTCAAATTTGAAGCCATTTTAGGAAGGGAGGTCGATATGATGTAGTGTAGATGTTGAACAAAGCGTTGATAGCGTTATCGGATAGCCTTGTGTTGTTAAGTTGTTCGATTCACAATGGTTCAGCGGTTGTTGGAATCCCCGTGGTTGCTCGGTCAATGCGCACTGCTGATGAGTCGAGTCCGAACAGGGATGAAACAGCTGTACAGTGAGTGCTTCCATGGATTTCAATGCTCAGTTGAGCGTTCAAGCTGCATGATCAATCATATTATACAAGTCTGTTCTAATCTAATCTAATCCAATCTCCCATTTCTAATGGATTGCATTCATAGTAAGGAAGCTGTGTAGGTTTATCATTTGGGAATGCGTTGGTTGTACTTAGGCCCCTACAGGGAAGTCATCCATCATAGGAGTCGATCGGTGTGCGCGAAGCTGGTTGTTACCATTCAAATTTGAAGCCATTTTAGGAAGGGAGGTCGATATGATGTAGCGTAGATGTTGAACAAATCGTTGATAGCCATCCCGGATAGCCTTGTGTTGTTAAGTTGTTCGATTCACAATGGTTCAGCGGTTGTTGGAATCCCCGTGGTTGCTCGGTCAATGCGCACTGCTGATGAGTCGAGTCCGAACAGGGATGAAACAGCTGTACAGTGAGTGCATCCATGGATTTATATGCTCAGTTGATTGTTCAAGCTGCATGATCAATCATGTTATACAAATCTATTCTAATCTAATCTAATCTAATCTCCTACTACTAATCAATTGCATGCATAGTAAGAAAGCTGTGTAGGTTTATCATTTGAGAATGCGTTGGTTGTACTTAGGCCCCTACAGAGAAGTCATCCATCATAGGAGTCGATCGGAGTGCGCGAAGCTGGTTGTTACCATTCAAATTTGAAGCCATTTTAGGAAGAGAGGTCGATATGATGTAGTGTAGATGTTGAACAAAGCGTTGATAGCGATCCCGGATAGCCTTGTGTTGTTAAGTTGTTCCATTCACAATGGTTCAGCGGTTGTTGGAATCCCCGTGGTTGCTCGGTCGATGTGCACTGCTGATGAGTCGAGTCCAAACAAGGATGAAACAGCTGTACAGTGAGTGCTTCCATGGATTTCAATGCTCAGTTGAGCGTTCAAGCTGCATGATCAATCATATTATACAAATCTATTCTAATCTAATCTAATCTAATCTCCTACTACTAATCAATTGCATGCATAGTAAGGAAGCTGTGTAGGTTTATCATTTGGGAATGCGTTGGTTGTACTTAGGCCCCTACAGAGAAGTCATCCATCATAGGAGTCGATCGGTGTGTGCGAAGCTGGTTGTTACCATTGAAATTTGAAGCCAGTTTGGGAACGGTGCTATATCATGTAGTGTAGATGTTGAACAAAGCGTTGATAGCCATCCCGGATAGCCTTGTTTTGTTAAGTTGTTCGATTCACAATGGTTCACCGGTTGTTGGAGTACCCGTGGTTGCTCGGTCGATGTGCACTGCTGATGAGTCGAGTCCGAACAAGGATGAAACAGGTGTACAGTGAGTGCTTCCATGGATTTCAATGCTCAGTTGAGCGTTCAAGCTGCATGATCAATCATATTATACAAATCTGTTCTAATCTAATCTAATCCAATCTCCCATTTCTAATGGATTGCATTCATAGTAAGGAAGCTGTGTAGGTTTTTCATTTGGGAATGCGTTGGTTGTACTTAGGCCCCTACAGAGAAGTCATCCATCATAGGAGTCGATCGGTGTGCGCGAAGCTGGTTGTTACCTTTCAAATTTGAAGCCATTTTAGAAAGGGAGGTCGATATGATGTAGTGTAGATGTTGAACAAAGCGTTGATAGCCATCCCGGATAGCCTTGTGTTGTTAAGTTGTTCGATTCACAATGGTTCAGCGGTTGTTGGAATCCCCGTGGTTGCTCGGTCAATGTGCACTGCTGATGAGTCGAGTCCGAACACGGATGATACAGCTGTACAGTGAGTGCATCCATGGATTTCAATGCTCAGTTGAGCGTTCAAGCTGCATGATCAATCGTATTGTACCAATCCATTCTAATCTAATCTAATCTAATCTCCTACTACTAATCAATTGCATGCATAGTAAGAAAGCTGTGTAGGTTTATCATTTGAGAATGCGTTGGTTGTACTTAGGCCCCTACAGAGAAGTGATCCATCATAGGAGTCGATCGGTGTGCGCGAAGCTGGTTGTTACCTTTCAAATTTGAAGCCATTTTTGGAAGGGAGGTCGATATGATGTAGTGTAGATGTTGAACAAATCGTTGATAGCGATCCCGGATAGCCTTGTGTTGTTAAGTTGTTCGATTCACAATGGTTCAGCGGTTGTTGGAGTCCCCGTGGTTGCTCGGTCAATGCGCACTGCTGATGAGTCGAGTCCGAACAGGGATGAAACAGCTGTACAGTGAGTGCCTCCATGGATTTCAATGCTCAGTTGATTGTTCAAGCTGCATGATCAATCGTATTATACCAATCCATTCTAATCTAATCTAATCTAATCTCCTACTACTAATCAATTGCATGCATAGTAAGAAAGCTGTGTAGGTTTATCATTTGAGAATGCGTTGGTTGTACTTAGGCCCCTACAGAGAAGTCATTCATCATAGGAGTCGATCGGTGTGCGCGAAGCTGGTTGTTACCATTCAAATTTGAAGCCAGTTTGGGAAGTGTGCTATACATGATGTAGTGTAGATGTTGAACAAAGCGTTGATAGCGATCCCGGATAGCCTTGTGTTGTTAAGTTGTTCGATCCGCAATCGTTCACCGGTTGTTGGAGTCCCCGTGGTTGCTCGGTCAATGTGCACTGCTGATGAGTCGAGTCCGAACAAGGATGAAACAGCTGTACAGTGAGTGCTTCCATGGATTTCAATGCTCAGTTGATTGTTCAAGCTGCATGATCAATCATATAATACAAATCTATTCTAATCTAATCTAATCTAATCTAATCTCCTACTACTAATCAATTGCATGCATAGTAAGGAAGCTGTGTAGGTTTATCATTTGGGAATGCGTTGGTTGTACTTAGGCCCCTACAGAGAAGTCATCCATCATAGGAGTCGATCGGTGTGCGCGAAGCTGGTTGTTACCATTCAAATTTGAAGCCAGTTTGGGAAGTGTGCTATATGATGTAGTGTAGTTGTTGAACAAAGCGTTGATAGCGATCCCGGATAGCCTTGTGTTGTTAAGTTGTTCGATCCGCAATCGTTCACCGGTTGTTGGAGTCCCCGTGGTTGCTCGGTCGATGTGCACTGCTGATGAGTCGAGTCCGAACAAGGATGAAACAGCTGTACAGTGAGTGCTTCCATGGATTTCAATAACGAGTTGATTGTTCAAGCTGCATGATCAATCATATTATACAAATCTATTCTAATCTAATCTAATCTAATCTAATCTCCTACTACTAATGGATTGCATGCATAGTAAGGAACCTGTGTAGGTATATCATTTGGGAATGCGTTGGTTGTACTAAGCCCCTACAGAGAAGTCATCCATCATAGGAGTCGATCGGTGTGCGCGAAGCTGGTTGGTACTATCCAAATTTGAAGCCAGTTTAGGAAGGGTGCTATAAATGATGTAGTGTAGATGTTGATCAAATTGTTGATATCCCTCCCGGATAGCCTTGTGTTGTTAAGTTGTTCGATCCGCAATCGTTCACCGGTTGTTGGAGTCCCCGTGGTTGCTCGGTCGATGTGCACTGCTGATGAGTCGAGTCCGAACAAAGATGAAACAGCTGTACAGTGAGTGCTTCCATGGATTTCAATGCTCAGTTGAGCGTTCAAGCTGCATGATCAATCATATTATACAAATATATTTTAATCTAATCTAATCTCCTACTACTAATCAATTGCATGCATAGTAAGGAAGCTGTGTAGGTTTATCATTTGGGAATGCGTTGGTTGTACTTAGGTTCCTACAGAGAAGTCATTCATCATAGGAGTCGATCGGTGTGCGCGAAGCTGATTGTTACCATTCAAATTTGATGCCAGTTTGGAAGGGATCCCGATATGATGTAGTGTAGATGTTGAACAAAGCGTTGATAGCGATCCCGGATAGCCTTGTGTTGTCGAGTTGATCGATTCACAATGGTTCAGCGGTTGTTGGAGTCCCCGTGGTTGCTCGGTCGATGTGCACTGCTGATGAGTCGAGTCCGAACGAGGATGAAATAACTGTACAGTGAGTGCTTCCATGGATTTCAATGCTCAGTTGAGCGTTCAAGCTGCATGATCAATCATATTGTACTAATCCATTCTAAATTAATCTAATCTCCTACTACTAATCAATTGCATGCATAGTAAGGAAGCTGTGTAGTTTTATCATTTGGGAATGCGTTGGTTGTACTTAGGCCCCTACAGAGAAGTCATCCATCATAGGAGTCGATCGGTGTGCGCGAAGCTGGTTGTTACCATTCAAATTTGAAGCCAGTTTGGGAACGGTGCTATATGATGTAGTGTAGATATTGAAGAAAGCGTTGATAGTTATCCCGGATAGCCTTGTGTTGTTAAGTTGTTCGATTCACAATGGTTCAGCGGTTGTTGGAATCCCCGTGGTTGCTCGGTCGATGTGCACTGCTGATGAGTCGAGTCCGAACAAGGATGAAACAGCTGTACAGTGAGTGCTTCCATGGATTTCAATGCTCACTTGATTGTTCAAGATGCATGATCAATCATATTATACAAATATATTTTAAACTTATATAATCTCCTACTTTTAATCAAATGCATGCATAGTAAGGAAGCTGTGTAGGTTCATCATTTGGGAATGCGTTGGTTGTACTTAGGCCCCTACAGAGAAGTCATTCATCATAGGAGTCGATCGGTGTGCGCGAAGCTGGTTGTTACCATTGAAATTTGAAGCCAGTTTAGGAAGGTTGCTATATATGATGTAGTGTAGATGTTGAAGAAAGCGTTGATAGCGATCCCGGATAGCCTTGTGTTGTCGAGTTGTTCGATTTACAATGGTTCAGCGGTTGTTGGAGTCCCCGTGGTTGCTCGGTCGATGTGCACTGCTGAGGAGTCGAGTCCCAACAAGGATGAAACAGCTGTACAGTGAGTGCTTCCATGGATTTCAATGCTCAGTTGAGCGTTCAAGCTGCATGATCAATCATATTATACAAATCTATTCTCATCTATTCTAATCTAATCTAATCTCCTACTACTAATCAATTGCATGCATAGTAAGGAAGCTGTGTCGGTTCATCATTTGGGAATGCGTTGGTTGTAAATAGGCCCCTACAGAGAAGACATCCATCATAGGAGTCGATCGGTGTGCGCGAAGCTGGTTGTTACCATTCAAATTTGAAGCCAGTTTGGGAACGGTGCTACATCATGTAGTGTGGATGTTGAACAAAGTGTTGATAGCCATCCCGGATAGCCTTGTGTTTTTAAGTTGTTCGATTCACAATGGTTGACCTTTGGTTGGAGTCCCCGTGGTTGCTCGGTCGATGTGCACTGCTGAGGAGTCGAGTCCGAACAAGGATGAAACAGCTGTACAGTGAGTGCTTCCATGGATTTCAATGCTCAGTTGAGCGTTCAAGCTGCATGATCAATCATATTATACAAATCTATTCTAATCTTATCTAATCTAATCTAATCTCCTACTACTAATCAATTGCATGCATAGTAAGGAAGCTGTGTAGGTTTATCATTTGGGAATGCGTTGGTTGTATTAAGGCCCCTACAGAGAAGTCATCCATCATAGGAGTCGATCGGTGTGCGCGAAGCTGGTTGTTACCATTCCAATTTGAAGCCAGTTTGGGAAGGGTGCTATATCGTGTAGTGTAGATGTTGAAGAAGGCGTTGATAGCCATCCCGGATAGCCTTGTGTTGTTAAGTTGTTCGATTCACAATGGTTCAGCGGTTGTTGGAATACCCGTCGTTGCTCGGTCGATGTGCACTGCTGATGAGTCGAGTCCGAACTAGGATGAAACAGCTGTACAGTGAGTGCTTCCATGGATTTCAATGCTCAGTTGAGCGTTCAAGCTGCATGATCAATCATATTATACAAATCTATTCTAATCTAATCTAATCTAATGTAATCTCCTACTACTATTCAATTGCATGCATAGTAAGGAAGCTGTGTAGGTTTTTCATTTGGAAATGCGTTCTTTAATCTTAGGCCCCCAAAAGGGAATTCATCCATCATAGGAGTCGATCGGTGTGCGCGAAGCTGGTTGTTACCATTCAAATTTAAAGCCAGTTTGGGAACGGTGCTATATGATGTAGTGTAGATATTGAAGAAAGCGTTGATAGTTATCCCGGATAGCCTTGTGTTGTTAAGTTGTTCGATTCACAATGGTTCAGCGGTTGTTGGATTCCCCGTGGTTGCTCGGTCGATGTGCACTGCTGATGAGTCGAGTCCGAACAAGGATGAAACAGCTGTACAGTGAGTGCTTCCATGGATTTCAATGCTCACTTGATTGTTCAAGATGCATGATCAATCATATTATACAAATATATTTTAAACTTATCTAATCTCATATTTTAATCAAATGCATGCATAGTAAGGAAGCTGTGTCGGTTCATCATTTGGGAATGCGTTGGTTGTACTTAGGCCCCTACAGAGAATTCATCCATGATAGGAGTCGATCGGTGTGCGCGAAGCTGGTTGTTACCATTGAAATTTGAAGCCAGTTTAGGAAGGTTGCTATATATGATGTAGTGTAGATGTTGAAGAAAGCGTTGATAGCCATCCCGGATAGCCTTGTGTTGGCGAGTTGTTCGATTTACAATGGTTCACCGGTTGTTGGAGTCCCCGTGGTTGCTCGGTCGATGTGCACTGCTGATGAGTCGAGTCCGAACAAGGATGAAACAGCTGAACAGTGAGTGCTTCCATGGATTTCAATGCTCAGTTGAGCGTTCAAGCTGCATGATCAATCATATTATACAAATCTATTCTAATCTAATCTAATCTAATCTAATCTCCTCCTACTAATCAATTGCATGCATAGTAAGGAAGCTGTGTCGGTTCATCATTTGGGAATGCGTTGGTTGTACTAAAGCCCATACAGAGAAGTCATTCATCATAGGAGTCGATCGGTGTGCGCGAAGCTGGTTGTTACCATTCAAATTTGAAGCCAGTTTGGGAAGGGTGCTATATCATGTAGTGTGGATGTTGAACAAAGTGTTGATAGCCATCCCGGATAGCCTTGTGTTGTTAAGTTGTTCGATTCACAATGGTTCACCGGTTGTTGGAGTCCCCGTGGTTGCTCGGTCGATGTGCACTGCTGATGAGTCGAGTCCGAACAAGGATGAAACAGCTGTACAGTGAGTGCTTCCATGGATTTCAATGCTCAGTTGATTGTTGAAGCTGCATGATCAATCATATTATACAAATCTATTCTAATCTAATCTAATGTAATCTCCTACTACTAATCAATTGCATGCATAGTAAGGAAGCTGTGTAGGTTTATCATTTGGAAATGCGTTCTTTAATCTTAGGCCCCCAAAAGGGATTCATCCATCATAGGAGTCGATCGGTGTGCGCGAAGCTGGTTGTTACCATTGAAATTTGAAGCCAGTTTGGGAACGGTGCTATATGATGTAGTGTAGATGTTGAACAAAGCGTTGATAGCCATCCCGGATAGCCTTGTGTTGTTAAGTTGTTCGATTCATAATGGTTCAGCTGTTGTTGGAATACCCGTCGTTGCTCGGTCGATGTGCACTGCTGATGAGTCGAGTCCGAACAAGGATGAAACAGCTGTACAGTGAGTGCTTCCATGGATTTCAATGCTCAGTTGAGCGTTCAAGCTGCATGATCAATCATATTACACCAATCCATTCTTATCTAATCTAATCTCCTACTACTAATCAATTGCATGCATAGTAAGGAAGCTGTGTAGGTTTATCATTTGGGAATGCGTTGGTTGTACTTAGGCCCCTACAGAGAAGTGATCCATCATAGGAGTCGATCGGTGTGCGCGAAGCTGGTTGTTACCATTGAAATTTGAAGCCAGTTTGGGAAAGGTTTTAAATGATGTAGTGTAGATGTTGAAGACAGCATTGATAGCGATCCCGGATAGCCTTGTGTTGTTAAGTTGTTCGATTCACAATGGTTCAGCGGTTGTTGGAGTCCCCGTGGTTGCTCGGTCGATGTGCACTGCTGATGAGTCGAGTCCGAACAAGGATGAAACAGCTGTACAGTGAGTGCTTCCATGGATTTCAATGCTCAGTTGATTGTTGAAGCTGCATGATCAATCATATTATACAAATCTATTCTCTTCTTATCTAATCTTTTACTACTAATAAATTGCATGCATAGTAAAGAAGCTGTGTGAGTTTTTCATTTGGGAATGCGTTGGTTGTACTTAGGCCCCTACAGAGAAGTCATCCATCATAGGAGTCGATCGGTGTGCGCGAAGTTTGTTGGTACCAGTCAAATTTGAAGAGGGTTTTGGAAGGGAGCCCGATATGATGTAGTGTAGATGTTGAAGAAAGCGTTGATAGCCATCCCGGATAGACTTGTGTTGTCGAGTTGTTCGATTTACAATGGTTCACCGGTGGTTTGAGTCCCCGTGGTTGCTCGGTCGATGTGCACTGCTGATGAGTCGAGTCCGAACAAGGATGAAACAGCTGTACAGTGAGTGCTTCCATGGATTTCAATGCTCAGTTGATTGTTCAAGCTGCATGATCAATCATATTATACAAATCTATTCTAATCTAATCTAATGAAATCTAAACTCCTACTACCAATCAATTGCATGCATAGTAAGGAAGCTGTGTGAGTTTTTCATTTGGGAATGCGTTGGTTGTACTTAGGCCCCTACAGAGAAGTCATCCATCATAGGAGTTGACCGGTGTGCGCGAAGCTGGTTGTTACCATTCAAATTTGAAGCCAGTTTGGGAAGGGAGCCCGATATGATGTAGTGTAGATGTTGAATAAGGCGTTGATAGCGATCCCGGTAGCATTGTGTTGTTAAGTTGTTCGATTCACAGTGGTTCAGCGGTTGTCGGAGTCCCCGTGGTTGCTCGGTCGATGTGCACTGCTGATGAGTCGAGTCCGAACAAGGATGAAACAGCTGTACAGTGTGTGCTCCATGGATTTCAATGCTCAGTTGATTGTTCAAGCTGCATGATCAATCATATTATACAAATCTGTTCTTATCTAATCTAATCTAATCTAATCTCCTACTACTAATCAATTGCATGCATAGTAAGGAAGCTGTGTAGGTTTATCATTTGGGAATGCGTTG